TATTTATCTATAAACCTGACTAGACAAGATAAACCTTCTTATATTCCTACACGATGCCACTCGTCGCACAGCAATTCGTAGTCTATCGGGTTAACATTTTACACGTACATAAAAACATCCGTCGCACAACAAGCGTGGAAGCGTAGAGAACGTCGCCGAGATCAACGGATTAAGTCGTATTCTCTGAAGCCGCTTAAGAAAATACCTCATATATATAAAAGAGAGCAAACTTTCGTTTACATATCTGCAGTAGTGACAACATAGTAATTTATTATGTCACATTGTCGTAAACGCATGTAGATGTACCTTTAATAACAAAATCAACTGTGACAAATTTATCTACATTATGCTGCCAAAAGTAATGTATTTAACGTTTGCATTTTATTATAATGCAACAGAGTAGAACAGTCGATAAAACGGTGACAATAGATAAAAGAAGACTAATTGAAGAATAATCTTTCAATTTAAAAATCGGAAAATAACAATTTTTACATTCTTTTAATACTGCGTTTATTTTATACTATTATATTATTTTAATACTGCATTATATTTTCTTAATATTGCATTTAAATGAATAATTTGTTTTCCATTGATCGGCGACGATCACGACACGGTCTTTTTTTATATAGGATTCCGAAATTTTGTAAATCAAAAATTTGTATTTTCTTTCTTTAATTTTCTCAGCATTAAATCCGCAATGTAAGGTTGTTTTTTTACAAAAACAATTACATTGTGGTCATTCCGAGTTGATGAAGAACATTTTGTTCGCGTGAAGAGATTCACGTGTGACATAAGCAGAGATGGGAGAAGGAAGGAGGTTTGAGATCTTAACTGTTAAAACCTTGCTGGTGATATGATGTAATTGTTGACGAGATTAAGCTGACAAGTTTATACTGTTCGTAAACGTAAAAAATTTTTTGTCATAAATCGTGAAATGTTATCATAGTTGTATTATTTTTCAAATTTAATAATATATAAATAAAATTTTGTATAATTAAATAATTTTAATTCTAAGTCTTCTTTAGTAGAGTAGAATGGATGATGATACTTTAGTTTCACATTATCTGGTTTATTTTTATTTTTCAAGAAATTTTTATACTGCTTTCCAGCGAAATGTAATGTTAAATTTACCGATGGTAGTATCTGTGAAAAGAGTCTGTCTACATCACATCACCAAGATGGGACACATCTATGCAAGGATAGCGCAAACACAGTTTTTCTTGGATATTTCCTCGTTTCGCTTTTATTTATACAATTATCTATGACAACCACGACCATAGATGACGTCGCGACCGATGATCGTATGAAAATAGCAACGACACGTGTTTGATATACAGAATAGAGTAATACACTAGTAACATTAATAGCACTGCTAAATTTCATTTTGCATTTTGTCTCCTCGAAGAAAATTCCTCATATATCTTAATCTGTCAATGTACAACATATTTTGAGCAACCTCTAATGCAACAGAATTTACTGATCTTGAAATGAATGTTATAGCTATTGTAAACAAATTTCATATTGAACACTAAATAAGCAATTTTCTGATGTTATGTAATAAATTATATTGGTGACAATAACTTGACGTAAAAATTAAATAAATCGGTTTAAACTAATTAATAATTGATGACAATAATTTTATGTTCAAAGTTAATTATATTTTTGTCCTTTTAATGTGATTGACAAAATTTAAATGCCGTAGAACACGGTAATATTATTTTTTTTGTTCAAACGATCTGCTTCTTGATTTTCCTCGAAGAGATGTAATGATCGTCTTGTACCCTGATCGATGTTCTAACATAATTTAACACGACAAGCGGCGACATTAGACCCGGCAGTGACAATAACCACTATTAAGTAATCTTGCTGTATAATAGGTTGTATAATAGGAGACACACAGTGATCTTCCGCTTTGTTAATGAGAGTAACTTCCGTCGATTTTCTGAAAGTTAGACAGAATTAAGGTGAGAAAAGTGAACGAGGAATAGTAATTCCCGGTTGTCGATCTCGCATTTCACAACAAGCTCTTATCAGTAGTCGTTGTAGTAGTTATGCTTGGTAGAATCCTGATTAAGCATACTATTAATAGTGAAACTATTGATAGTAACAGTGCTTTTTAATATTAAGTAGAGCTATGAAATTCCAATCGCTTGCGATTATCAGTCTTGACCACCAAGACTATCATCGATTGTGTAGAGCTTATTTTAATCATAGTAACATTATTTGCACTGATATTAATGCTCGTATGAGGCACGCATAAAGCTTCCATTGGACATTAATGACCGAAGTTTATCACCGCAAGGTGAAATATGATCGGATCGGTTCTTTCCCTCGAAACGCATTTTATTTATTCACACACAAAGCTGATTATTAATCTTCTTGAGGAAATCTATCTTTGTGATACTTCCATCTAACCCCAAAAATGGACTGATTGGTAAGACATTTTTTTTGTTTGAATTTTATTAATTAAGCTAGCCAAAACGTTGCATTATATTTTTGCTGTAGAAGATATTCGTGTAGTTTGAGAAATTTCTGGAGAGTAATGTTGTTGACTCCTTTAAGTGCGTTAAGTGCTGAAGTTTGTGAAGAGTATATCGAGTCCGTTCAAGGGGTTAAGCTTCGAGATATAGAATAATGGAATAATGAACGTTATATACATAAGAGATTCACTACGCGAATTTGGCTTTGTAATTCGCCGCCCTGATTTGAGGTGTCGGTCTATCTATTGATCTACCTACCTGACTGATTTATTCGTCTAAAAATATCGCTTACTAAACGAATTTATAAATTCTTAATCCGAAGAGGCCGACATATTCTCAGGTGTGTCTTTCATTATAAGGTTAACATTTGGTACAATTTTATGATGAAAATTATTATTCGTTAGAACTAATTGACTTGAACATTTGATTGATGTTATTTGACTTTTGAATGTTTCATATCGATAAATTAATTGTTCTTTGGTATATGCGAATTGTTTTTCTCTATTTTCTTGATAAGAAGTCACATTCGTGCCAGTAGATAAGTCGAAATAATTATCGTCGTTTGCAACTGTTGATTTTGTAATTAATTTTTATAACATCCGCCTTTGATTAATGAATATTCCATACAAGGAACAAGTAAGATCTCGAGATCATACAAAAACTTTTTGCGTTAATGTACATTTTTTGTTGTGGCGGCGAGACTTTTGTCGATCTGTTGGTTCGTTCGAATAAAGCTATATTGTATCTAGTATACATTCTTCTTCTTTGACAAAATCGATTTTGGTGCTGATTATTTATTAAGTTCGTAAAGTATATGCAGCACTAGTCGAGATTAATCGATCTCATCTCATTAATCAATCTTCATTCACCGATAAACGCCTAGTCATTTTGAGAATCATTCGTCGACTTACACGTATATCGATAATACATTTTATATGTCTACTTATACTGTAATTGAATACTATTTTAAGGGCATAGGGTAAAAAGAATTAAATCCCCTTTTTAATGCAATTATAACTTACTTCGACGATGACGTTAAGATATATACGAAAATAAATTCGTAATATAAAAGTCGAAAGAAATTTTTTAAGATATTAAATTCTTGTTACAGAATGACGCATTTGATATGTTTAATAAATTACATCATTAATTTTTAATTAGATGTTAATGATATTAGAAAAACGTGAAACGTTGCTTGTCAGTCAAATGAATCATAAAGTTACGACACAACGATAGTTACGATAGTATCAAATTATACAAATATTTGAATAAAATAAAATAAAAAATAATAATAATAAAATAAAAATAATAATCGTAAAATCGGGTCTATGAAATCTATTCTGCATGCCTGAGACGATGTCCGCATCTGGCCGCTCTGGGACAACATCAAGAAGAAGAATATAGAACTGTCGCTAACTGACTTCTCTTAAAAAAAGCATGAAAGATCGATACTAGAAATATATTAATTTACAGGGAAAGGGTACGAAAGAATTTTGTAGTTAATTCAACCAAAATTTTGTAGTTGGATCGACCATGATCCATTGTGGTAGATCCAACCATAAGTTTATAGTTGGATCGACCATGATCCATTGTGG